TGACAAACCCAGTGTTTGCGGTATAATCTAGCGGAAGGCCGCGGCAAAAAAAGAGGGAGAACCTCTTACCTGGAACTCCAGTAGAACCTTCTTCTCGAGAATCTCCAAGATTCTCGGAATCGTGACATTTTTTTCTCCGACCCTAGGCTTTAGCTTAAAGCGCAGATTCGGGTTGCCACGAAAGCCGTACCATAGCCGATCGCTCGGTGGGGGAGGGATGTTCAGCACCAGAGTGCCAAAGAGCATGCCCACCTAAAACGCACAGATAAAGGAAAAAAAAGCGTTAAGTGCACGGCAAAGTAAACGCTGGGGCGTAAACGCGACAGCTTGGAAATCAAAATGGTAAAACTTAAAATCCGGTAGCAGGAAGCCTGTTTTCGGATAGGTAGCAATGGCCTTGGAAAAACAGCTGTAATTTGTAGACAAAATACGACCCTGGTCACAGCCATTCCCGGGTCAATTTTTCAAAATGATAATAAAACAAAACTGTTTCGGTATGAGAACGTGGAAAAGATGGCAAAGTCTGCGAAAGGTAGGCTACGGTCAACTGGCAATAAAACACCATCGCTCCCACACCCAAAAAGAGATCAGATAAGTGCCTGCCACCTGGAGGCAAGGTAAACAGGAGAACGTTGAACCAGTTTTTTGACTTCGGCTGAAAATGAAAGAATTCACGTTTCTGTGTATACTGGAAGGGTGTTTGCCAGATATCTTTCTAATTTTAGGCCCAGCTCTAAGGGTGCAAATGCACCACACTGTGGCATAATTATTACACAAATGTAGATTGTGTTCGACGCTTATATCAAAATCTTTAAAATAAGACCCGAACCCGTCATAGCTGTGCCACGCAGCGGCAGGATATCGGCAAAACATGTGTCCGAGCTTTTAGCTATTAGAGTAGGTCGCCGGTTATTAAGCCCACGGTTAATAAGCCCAGCCGCGTATTAAGCCCAGTCGCCGGTTATTAAGCCCACGGTTAATAGGCCCAGCCGCTTATTGAGCCCAATTTGGTCTGGGCCGGCGACTACTGTACTATGATCCTGCAAAAACTGTCAGTCGTCCGCCTGTTCCGTTTCAAGTTTTTCTATTCGTTCATAAGAAAATGTTTGGACTCGTTCCGCATATAGCGTGATAGAGAAAAGGGAGGCCTTGTCGTGCCTGACTTGCAAAACATAATATTTTTTTGGATAAGGAAGAAGACGTGTCGAGCACCGAATCAATTGGTTTATTGTCATGAGCTTTCGAACTCATGCAGGAGTCCATCTTCAGAGGTTAGGAGTAGCAACAAAACAAAGGTAATTAGACAACAGTATCTTGTAGATAACTGCAACCTAAAGACAGACTGCCTCCTACCAAAACCTCTGCAGTTGTCTACAAGATACTTTGCAACGAGGGATACTGCAATAACGCTGGAGAAACAGGTCGCAAATTGCAGACCCGCCTTCACGAGCACAAAGGAGCAGCTGGGAGACTAGATCCAAACTCTCAACTTGCAGCACACGTCGCAGAGACTGACCATGACTTCGATCTTCAAGGAGCAACCATCATAGGCTGAGGAAACTCAAAAGCCGAAAGGCTGG